CAGAGGGCCCCACCACGGCCCCAAGAGAGCTTCAGATGGCCTCCATACGGTCCACGAGAGTCTCGAGACGGCTCAAGAGGCCTTCAAGAGGGCCCCCGAGAGGGCCCCAAGAGGCCAAAAACATGGATTCCCCTGTAGTTTTTGCAGGTTATTCGGCTTCCCCCCCTTTCAGTCCCAGAAGGGCCCCAGACGGCCCAAGAGGCCCCAAAGCTCGTCCCAAGACGGCCCCAGAGGCGCCCCAAAGGAACCCAAAACGGTCCAAGAGGGCCCCCAGACGGGCTCCAAATATCGTCCCAAGAGGGCCCCAGAGGCGCCCCAAAGGGGCCGAAACCTGTCCAAGAGGGTCCCCAGACGGCCCCAGATGGCCCCAAGACGGCCCAAGAGAGCCAACGAAAAGACCATTCGTGGAGTGCCTGCTCTTCCGCGAGGCGGCGCAGGCGTGGGCTTGAGGTTGCTCTCGGCGGCATCCTGGGCGCGGTGGCGGTTCGGATTGCGAGCTAAGCGTAAGTCGGGCGTGTTCCTCTACAGGAGAGATATTGAATATAGTCAGGAAGCCTTCTGGAGACGATTTTTCTATCGTTTTTCTATTATTCTACAGGCTTGCGCCACATCCGCCGACCCCTTCTGTGAGTGTTGCGAGGCCAGGAGTTTCTGGCCAGCGGCGTCTTGTGTGAGGGTGCGGTGTCGCGCGCGGGTGGTGGCAGATACGTAGGGGGTCCAAATGTTTGCGTGATGCCGGTGGTCTGGGGCGTGTTTTGCGAGCGCCTTGCGTGCTGTGCACCCGGGTACGGGGTGTCCTTCTGGGAGGTCGGCCTTTCGACCCGCAACCAAGTGGAGGACCACCAGAAGACGAAAGGAGCAAGAGTAGCGTGCGGAAGGTATGATCAGCAAGGCATCACCGCGAAAGATGTGGCAGATGAGTCGAAACGGGTGAAGAGGCTGTTGACGTTTGCATCGCGCACGAAACAGTTCGCGCGGCAGCAGCACATTAGCGCCGAGCAAGATAGTGAACACGTCGCGAGGAAGAGCAAGGCTGTATGCGCGGAGTGCATTGCAGTTGGCTTGACGGGCTCGCAATACGGAAGCGTCTGGGGGTCTTTGGGGGCCCTCCTGGGGGCCTCTTGGGGGCTCCTCGGGGCGTCTTGGCGGCCTCTTGGGGGCCTCTGACGGCTTCTTGGGGCACTCTTGGGGCCCCCTGGGGCTCGTGGGGGCGGAAAGCTAGATTTTTGAATTTTTGGTTGCCCTCTTGGGCCTCTTGGTGCCGTCTTGGAGCCTTCTTGGGCCGTCTTGGGGACCTCTTGGGCCGTCTTGGAGCCATCCTGGGCCGCCGTGGGGCCGTTTTGGGGGCCTCTTGGGCAGTCTTGGGGCGGTCTTCGGGGCCTCTTGGGCCGTCTTGGAGCGTCGGAAAGCCCACGAGACGAAGTTGTGCAACATATACGTCTTCCGAGAGAAATTAACATTTTTTTGCGTCTAGGGACCCTCTTGGGACGCATCTTGGAGGCCCCTTGGGGGCGTTTTGGGCCAACTGGGGGCCATCTCGGGTGTCTTCGATCGCTCTTGGACCGTGTGGGACCATGTTGAGCTCTCCTGGAAGCCACTTGGAGCGCTCCTGGAGCGCTTTCGGGGCCGTCTTCGGGTCTCTCTTGGGCCGTCTTCGGCGCCTCTTGAGCCGTCTTGGCGCCCTCTTGGGCTGTCTTGGGGCCCTCTTGGAGGCTTCTTGGACCGTCTTGGTGCGGTATTGGGGGCCTCTTGGGCCGTTGGGGGCGTCGGAAAGCCCAACCGGCGAATTTTTAAACACACTCAACGTTTTACGAAGGGAACGGGCCAACTTTTTGCGTCTAGAGGCCCTTTTGGGGCGCATCTTCGATGCCTCTTGGGGCCTCTTGGGGGCATCTTGGGCCGTCTGGAGGCCATCTTCGGTGTCTTTGATCGCTCTTGGACCGTCTGGGACCATATTGAGCTTTCTTGGAGGCCACTTGGGGCGCTCTTGGGGCCGTCTTCGGGGCCGTCTTGGACGCCTGTTGGGCCGTCTTGGGGCCCTCTTGGGCTATCTTGGGACCCTCTTGGAAGCTTCTTGGGCCGTCTTGGGGCGGTCTTGGGAGCCTCTTGGGCCGTCTGGGAGCATCGGAAAGCCCAGAAGGCGAAATTGTGAAACATTTATGTTTTACGAAAGGGAATGGGCCAAGGACCCTCTTGGGGCGCATTTTGGAGGCCTCTTGAGGCCTCGTGGGGACCTCTTGGGCCGTCTGGGAGGCCTCTTAGCCCGTCTTTGGGCCATCTTGGGCGTCTTGGAGCGCTCGTTTGGCGTCTCGGGGCCCTCGTGGGCCGTCTTGGCAGCGTCTTGAGGCCTTCTTGGCTCGTCTTGAGCCCCTTTCGGGCCCAAAAAAGCCCCGTGACGCGCTCGTCGTCGGCGAGGGGGGGGAGTCAAATCTCCGGTTTGGGGTCCCTGGGGGGGGGAATATGGGGGGGAAACTATCTCACACGCCTAGAGACCCACAAGGGGTCGGCGGATTTGGGTATATACTTGGAGTTTTGCTTAAATACGTTCCTCCAACGTCCTCCTGTAGGAGGGCATGCACGACCTGAAGCTGAGCGGCCGCGGCGGGGGAGAAAAAAAATGCCCGGGGAAGGGTTTGGGGCCTCCAGGGGCTGGCGCTGCGACAAACAAGCCCGACGCGAGGAGGGCTGGGGCTGGCGAGTTGTTCCTCTTCCCTGCTCGTGCGTGCCTGCTGCGCCAGAGGTAAGTCGGGCGTGTACCTTTGCAGGGGGAAGATTCAGGAGCAGTCAAGAACTAGTCCGGGGACGATGTCTGGAATATGTTTGATGATGTTTGGAGATTGTTTTTAGTCTTGTCCATTCGTCCCCAAAGTCTGCTTATTCGTCCCCAACGTCTGCCTGTAGGGGGACAGGCCCGACCTAACGCCAGAGGCAGGGTCGCCAGCGAGCCCATCCGATGCGACTCGATTCGCGGGCCGGGCCCGCGAACTCCGAGTCGACCCGGTGGCTCGATCCACCACCAAGTCGAACGTGTCCCTCCTACAGGGGGAGGGTTCAAAAGTAGTGAAAAATCGTCTGGGAACTATGCTATGACTACGTTTTTTTTATTTTTGGGGGTATATTGGAGAGGCCTGACGGCCAGTGCCGCCGACCCTGATCCAAGGGCCTTCCTGGGGGCTTTTTGGCAGCTTCTTGGGGACTCGTGCCCGAGGGGTTGAAGTGTACCGTCTTGGGGATGTATTATTGCCTTCTCCCCTTTTCCCAATTCGTCCAACTTCTCCTCCACCTGGCGCTCCCCGTCCTCCTCCTCCTCCTCCTCCTCCCCCCTCCTCCTCCTCCTCCTCCTCCTTCTCCTCCTCCTCCTCCTCCTGCATTGCACGCATTCGCCCGGGAGCCTCGTCGAAGACAGATCGTCGGCGCCCCTGAATACATGTGTTGCTCTCCCCGGAGCTAGTCGCCCCTATCGTCGCCTCGGAAGAGAGGACGAGCGTGGCAGTTACAAGCGGTAGGGCTTGTGCTCTCTTTTTTCACGGCCGTGAGGCGATTCGGCTCTTCGGATCTCGCCTCACCCCTAGACATCTGGCATCTCGAAAGTTCGGGGGTGGATAGAGCCCCCACCCTGACACGTCGATTAGTGAGTTGTCCGCTTTCGGTTCTCGAGAGGGCGCCGTTGCCGCCATGTTCCAGGCTTGCGTCCGCCAGGTTTGGGCCCGAGGCCGTTTTAACTACACCACGCTTTGATCAAGGGGGTTCTGTCCATCCCAGAAAAAATAAAGGAAAGGCTTTGTTCCATAGTTTTCGGCCTCTCGGGGCCCGCACCGGGCCTCGGGACCGTCCAAGGAACGGCTCAGGAGGAGAAGCCGCCCCAGGGGGAAGCGGTCGAGAGGTGTGGGGCCCGCGTCTCGAGAACTCGAGGCGTCGCACGTCGGCTGGGCCCCGCGGGGCGCAGTCAGCATCGGAGGAGTTCTGATCTGACCAGCCTGCTGGAGTATATCGCGGCGGCGCGGTGACTCAGCATCGCTTAACCGACCCCCATCCCCATCCCCATCCCCATCCCCTTCGAGACCCCCACCAAATTACCCCCCCAGCTGGGATACATCCCTCGAACCCCGAAGGGAACGGCCTATATCCCCATCTAGGGGGGTAAATCGGCCAGTGGGGCCCAGGCCACGCCGCTGGGGACAGGGATCGGACAGACGATGCTCAGTGACGCAAAGCTTGCGTCACACCGTAGCGCAGAGTGCCGCCCCGGGCGAGGGCTTTCGCTGGGCCTTCTCGTGCCCCCCGCTGGCAAGACCTCCGCTCCGAGCTGGGTCCGATCGGAAGCGGAACGTCGGGGCCCCGCCACGAGCGTGCGTCGGGTGGCCGGCAACAGGAGGGCGAGAGAGTCTGTCAAGAGGGGGGACGGGCAGGTCCGCTCAAAATCCCGCCCCCTCCTCCTCCTCCTCCTCCTCCTCCTCCTCCTCCTCCTCCTCCTCCTCCTCCTCCTCCTCCTCCTCCTCCCTCTTCTTCGTCCTCCTCCTCCCTCCTCCTCCTCCTCCTCCTCCTCCTCCTCCTCCTCCTCCTCCTCCTCCTCCTCCTCCTCCTCCTCCTCCTCCGCCTCTTCCTCCTCCTCCTCCTCCTCCTCCTCCTCCGCACGTGGGAGGGAGATCGAGGATTGCAGGAGAGTGGCCCTGCAGTGGCCCCAGCTGCCGCCGTGGGCCCAAGAGGGTGGCGGAAGGCGCAAGTCTCGCCATCCCACTCGCCGGCCTGGGGCGTGTCCCTGTCCTTCTGATGGGCATCACCCGATCTCGATGCCGATCTGAAGGATCGCCGTTGTTTCTGACGGCGCAGTCCCGAGATTGTCATCGCACCTGGGCTTGTCAGTCTTAGGGATGGGGATACGATCGAGGCTGGTCACCCACGTGTATGGCCCCCCCCCCGTTACTTAACAAGCACCCGAGTGTGTCTGGACCTGGGGAGTGTGCTTCCAAGGATACCGGTGGCTGGAGGGCCAGCTCGGCATGACGCCCGTGCACAGAAAGACTCACGCCGTCAGGTTCGTGAAGGCCGCCTCAGCCTCCTCCCTCCTCCCTCCTCCTTTCTCCTTCCCCCCTCCCCCCCTCTCCCCCCTTCTCCTCCTCCTCCCTCCTCCTCCTCCTCCGCCGCCTCCTTCTCCTCCTCCTCCTCCACCTCCTCCTCCTCTCGCTCCTCCTCCTCTTTCCTTCTGCTTCTCCTCCTCCTCCTCCTCCTCCTCCTCCTCCTCCTCTTCCTCCTCCTCCTCCTCGCTCCCCCTGGCGCTGCCGCTGACGGCCAGCGTGCGCGCCCGCGCCGCGGCCGCTGTCCCGCCCCCCCGCCCCGCATCCCCCTCCCGACGCGAGGGTCGCGGGGGGGGGGGCGGGGGGAGGTGGGGGCCGTGCAGCAGAGCACCTCGATGGCAGCAGGGCTGGACCTAGACGGCGTTTTTGTTTCGATCTCGTGGGCCCTTGTCGTTTCGACTTCTCTGCGGCGAAGTCGGACTGAAGACGAAGCGAGGGAAAACGAAAACAAAACGAAAACGAAGAACACCGTTCAGGTTCAGCCCTGGATGGCAGGGCGGACGGGGGGAGGAGGAGGAGGAGGAGGAGGAGGAGGAGGAGGAGGAGGAGGGAGGAGGAGGAGGAGGAGGAGGAGGAGGAGGAGGAGGAGGAGGAGGAGGAGGGCAGGGCTGAAAACGAAAACGGTTCAGCCCTGGATGGCAGGGCTGACGAGGGCGAGCGACGGAAGGGGGGGGGCGGCACGGGGGAGCGAGCACGCAGGGCAGGGCGAGGGCGGGGGAGGGGTGCTCGAGGAGCGACGGGGGTGGGCGAGGCGAGCGACGGGCGGAGGTCCAGGAGGAGAGCGAGGAGAGGCAGCTCTCCTCCTCCTCCTCCTCCTCCTCCTCCTCCTCCTCCTCCTCCTCCCCCTTCCTCCTCCTTTCTCCTCCTCTCTCCTCCTCCTCCTCCTCCTCCTCCTGGAGGAGCGACGGGGGTGGACGTCCAAATCTTTGGGAGGAGAGCGAGGAGAGGCAGCTGATGGGGCGCCGAGGGGGGGGGGGGGCATGCGTAGCCAGAGGGATCGGCGGCAGCAGCGGGGGCAGCGGCACGGCGGGAGGGCGAGCGCGGCACCACGGGCACGACACTTGGGGCGAGGCCGGGTGAGCGGAGGAAGCGGCGGGCGAGCCCCCGGCAGAGCTCTGAGGTGGGAGCGCAGATGCGTTGTAAGAGCCGGCGGGGTGGACCAGCCCGCGCGAGGGGGGGGGATGCAGTGGGGGCTTGGCCTGGGCCTTCCCTGCGGCGTGTCGAGCAGGTGAGGGCACCAAAAAGTGACAACAGCACTCGAGGAGCACGAAAAGTGCAAACATGAAACATGAGGATGTTGGAGGCGGATGTACGACCATGCAGGAGGATGAAAAAGGATGAGAAGGAGGAGGGTGTAGGATGTAGGAATGTAGGATGTGGGAGGAGGCGGTGGACGCAGGAGCAGGAGGAGCACGTAGGCTGGAGTGGGAGGCGGATGTAGGAGGAGGAGGAGGAGGAGGAGGAGGAGGAGGAGGAGGAGGAGGAGGAGCATCAGCAGCAGCAGCAGCAGCAGCAGCAGCAGCAGCAGCAGGAGGCGGTGAAGGAGCAGGCGGAAGAGGCGGGAGGAGGCGACGGGAGGGGGGCGCCCCGCGCGGGCGGAGCGAGGGCGGTGTCCAGGGGGGGAGCCTTGCAAGGAGCGGCCAGCCGCCCAGCCGCGGTGCCGTGCCGCGCACGTCTGCCGTGCCGCCCTCCGCGGCGCTGCGTGTGGGTGGGGGGGGGGAAGGGCGCGAGGGCGGCGGGGCGAGGCTCACAGCGGGAAGGCTAATCATGATGAGGAGGAGGAGGTGGAGGAGGAGGAGGGGGAGGAGGAGGACGAGGAGGAGAGGGAGGAGGAAGGAGGAGGAGGAGGAGGAGGAGGCGGAGGAGAGGGAGGAGGAGGAGGAGGAGGAGGAGGAGGACGAGGAGGATGCGTATGATGGTGGCTCTGATGATGGTTGTGATGATGATGCTGACGAGGATGAGGATGATGACGACGAGGATGATGATGTTGATGATGGTGCTGGTTGTGATGGTGGTGATGATGCTGATGCTAATGTTGACAGTCATGGCGATGATGAGGATGATGATGATAAGGATAAGGATAAGGATGATGATGGTGATGATGATGATGATGATGACGAGGATGACGACTATGCTGATGATGCTGATGATGGTGGTGATGGTGACGACGATGCTGACTATCATGTTGATGACGTTGATTATACATATGGTGGCGATGGGTAGCCATGCTGGTGATGATGCTGATGGAGATGCTGATTCTGATGATGATGATGATCATCATGACGAGGATGACGAGCGTGTTCATGATGATGCTCATGGATCTGATGGCGATCTGTATGACGAGGATGATGATGACTCTGAATATGACGAGTACGATGGTGCGCATGAGAATCATGATGCTGAGGCTGATGATGGCAGTATTTATGCTGATGACGAGGGCGATGATGATGGTGATTATAGTGATGATGATGGTTGCGATGACGATGGTGATGATGATGTCGCTGATGACGATGATGGCGAGGATGCTGAAGGAGGACGGTGATGACGAGGGTGATGACGACGACGATGCTAATGACAACGATGATGATGATGATGATGATGATGATGATGATGATGAAGATGATGACGATTATGGTGACGATCAGGATGGTGATGATGAGGATGGTTGTTATTGAATGTGGTGACGATTGTGACGAGGCTGCTAATACGGCTGATGACGATGATGTTGAAGATAATCATCATGAGAATGATGGTGGTCAGGATGGTGATGATGCCGATGAGGATGCTGATGGCGAAAATGATGATGATGATGATGATGATGATGATGATGATGATGATGATGGTGATGGGAAGGACGGAGGTGATGATGAGAAGGATAGTAATGTTGATGCTGATAATGATGACGATGGTGGTGGTTATAATGATTGTGGTGATTCAGATGATCATGATGACCATCGGTTGCATCATAGCTGGAACAGGTATCATCATCATCACCACCATCGTCATCATCATCATCATCATCATCACCATCGTCATCATCATCTTCATCTTCATCTTCATCTTCATCAGCACTATCATCATCGGGCAATATCTATAGCCACGTCCTCGGCGTCTTGGATTCCAGTGTTTGGTCGGAAACTTTGGCGTGGCGTGTCGCTCCGCCGCCTTTGGGCCACCACGCTTCGGCGCGACACGCCATCCACGTCCACGCTCCCGAGCGCCCACGTCCCGAGCCTTTCTCGACTTCCCGCTCCGCGGGGCGGAGCGGCACGCTACCGGTTCGCGGGGCGACACGCGAAGAGCAAGTTCCCGACCTCAGCTGCCTCGATACGCCCGTTTTGATGCGCAGCACCTGCCGTGCTGAAAACGTGCGTGCCAATACGTTGCGTGTTGGTTCAACGTATTCGCCCACGTTTTGGCGAACGTATCGCGTCAGACCTACGTTTTCAGTCCACGTGTTGAGCTCCGTATCAATACGCTTTCAGTCCACGTGTTGAGCTCCGTGTCAATACGCCACGTGTTGCGTATTGCGTATCTGCGCAGCTAAGTTCCCGACCGTCAGGGATGCCAAATACCTTCGATGCACCGGATATGGACGAACATCTCGCGTCGAGAAAAGCCAGTTGTTACATGGCCACTGCGTCTCAGGCGCAAGTGGATCGAATATACTCAACGCAAAGGACATGTAACCGACTGCCGCTTATTAATATATATATACATATATACATATATATACACATGATTGGGGAGGAATCCAGTACAGTATGTTGAATTTATTTAATTTATTTATTTTATTTAATTTAACCATACGGATTAATTAAATAAATTAACCTATTTAATTTATTTCATTTATTTATTTTATTTAATTTATTTAATTTACTTAATTTATTTAATTTATTTTTCTGGCCTCCCTGGCGGGGATTCTGGTCAGCCTCAGGCGCAGCAGAATTGATTTAATGTATTTAATTAGCCCTGGCGGATTAATTAAATAAATTAAAAAAAATAAATAAATAGGGCTACGCCCTGAGGTTCACCAGGATCTTCGCCAGCGGAGCTGGAAAAATAAATTAAATAAATTAAATAAATGAAATAAATTAAATAAAGTAAATAAACTGAATTGATTTAATTTATTTCATTAATCCGTATGATTAAATTAAATAAAATAAATAAATTAAATAAATTTAATTTATTCAATTTATTTAATTAACCCGTATGATTAAATCTAATAAATTAAATAAATTAAATGAATTCAATTCTTTTAATTTATTTAATTTATTCAATTTATTTAATTTATTTAATTTATGTTTCCGGCCTCTCTGGCGGGGATTCTGGTCAGCCGCAGGCGTAGCAGAATTGATTTAATTTATTGCATTAGCCCTGGCGGATTAATTAAATAAAATAAATAAATTAAATAAATAGGGCCACGCCCTGAGGTTCACCAGGATCTTCGCCAGCGGAGGTGGAAAAATAAATTAAATAAATTAAATAAATTAAATAAATTGAATTTATATTTAATTTATTTAATTAATCCGTATGATTAAATTAAATAACATAAATATAATACATAAATTGAATTCATTCAATTTATTTTATTAACCCGTATGATTAAATCAAATAAATTAAATACATTAAATGAATTCAATTCTTTTAATTTATTTAATGTATTTAATTTATTTAATTTATTTATTTTATTTTTCCGGCCTCTCTGGCGGGGATTCTGGTCAGCCGCAGGCGCAGCAGAATTGATTTAATTTATTTAATTCGCCCTGGCGGATTAATTAGATAATCTAAATAAATTAAATAAATAGGGCCACGCCCTGAGGTTCACCAGGATCTTCGCCAGCGGAGGTGGAAAAATGAATTAAATAAATTAAATAAGTTAAATAAATTTAATAAATTAAATAAATTGAATGTATTTAAGTTATTTAATTAATCCGTATGATTAACTTAAATAAATTAAATAAATTCTTTTTTTAAAAAAAAAAAAAATATTTAATTTATTTAATTTATTCAATTTATTTAATTTATTTGTCCGGCCTCCCTGGCGGGGATTCTGGTCAGCCTCAGGCGCAGCAGAATTGATTTAATTTAATTAATTCGCCCTGGCGGATTAATTAAATAAAATAAATAAATTAAATAAATAGGGCCACGCCCTGAGGTTCACCAGGATCTTCGCCAGCGGAGCTGGAAAAATAAATTAAACAAATTGGATAAATGAAATAAGTTAAATAAAGTAAATAAATTGAATTTATTTAATTCATTTCATTAATCCGTATGATTAATTCAAATAAATGAAATAAATTCAATTTATTTAATTTAGTTAATTTATTTCATTCATTTAATTTATTTGATTCATTTTTCCGGCCTCCCTGGCGGGGGTTCTGGTCTGCCTCAGGCGCAGCAGAATTGATTTAATTGATTTAATAAGCCCTGGCGGATTAATTAAATAATTTAAATAAATTGAATAAATGGGGCCACGCCCTGAGGTTCACCGGGATCTTCGCCAGATTAATCTTTCACCGGTATCTCCTAATTTTAATTAAATCAATTCAATTAATTTAATTAATTTAATTAACTTAATTCATTCAATAAATTTAATTAATTTTCTTGGCTCCTCCTGGAGGATCTCAGGCGAGCGCTGAGAGCAGCGGAATTAATTTAAATAATTTAATTAATCTCTACATATTAATTAAATTAATTAAATTAATTCAATTAATTCAATTAGTTTAATTAATTTAATTAATTTCCCTGGGTTCCCCTGGGAAGGCCTCAGGCGAGCGCTGAAAGCAGCATAATTAATTTAATTTATTTATTTAATCGACGTAAATTAATTAAATTAATTAAATTAATTAAATTAATTCGGCTGCTCTGAGCGCTGGCCGGTGCCTTCAGATATGTAGATATTGATTTTGTGTCGGGGCTTGGGATATACCTCATTGGGAACGCAGACGCGCACGCTGAAAAGTACCACGCTGCACGTGGTACTTTTTCTCCTGGGATTATATCGAGGGATTGTATACAAGAAGAAATCTTTGTTCCGATCTCCTCCCCTAATCCCACGAGCCTCATCCTCCTCGTCCGCGCTCCTCCGTAATCCTCGCCCCGTTTCCTCGTGGTCCTCGCCCCCCTTCCTCTTTCGATCCATCATCTTCCCTTCCCTCCTCCTCCTCCTCCTCGTGTCCCTCCTCATCCAACACCGAGTCGCCGGTCCAAGGGTTGTCTGTCAGGGGGTGACCCCGGGGATACGTGTATGGCAGTTGCGTTCACGTAACCATTGAGGCTCAGGTTGGTTCACTCGTCGGCCACCCGCTCGTGTCCCCCCCGCCTCCTCCGAGGTCGTGTTCTTCCCTCAATGGCGCCCAAGCGGGTGAAAAAAACGGTGATCAAGCACAAAACGAATTTCTGCATTGCGTGCAACGTTTCTCACGCTTCGCCAACGTGGTATGGGAAAAGCGGCAGCAAAGTATGTAAAGCGGAATATGAAAAACAACGTAGGTTTGCACAGAGCTAAGAGTTGAAAAAACCGGCGGTGAATGTGAGTGGTTCAAGCAGTTGGCGGGCAAAACTTCTGCCCCAGATTGAAGATAAAGACAAGACGACATACCCCATAGCGAGCTTAGATTCCAGGCCAGATTGGAAAGCCTTCCAACTGGCTTTGCACGCCCTTCCCAGTACCCAGTCGTACTTACCATGGTACTACGGGGCGTGGTGCGTATTCTTGTACTGGTCTTGGCCATGCATATCCTTCATATCGACCGCAATGACACAGAGAGATATCAAGAGTTGCTTCGATTCTACAGTATCTATGTTTCAGCAATATCGCATCGTGAATGGCGAGTTGACGCCGCATCGCGCCGGCTCCACGGCTAAAGGCCTGCGGGCCGTGGGGCGCGACATGGACCGAGGCAATTCAATTCCACGTGGTCAAGAGTTATGCCTTGAAGCCGACGCGTGGAAAGCCATTTGCAAAAAACTCTGTGGGTTGCCGTCGCCTTTTTCTGTGAAAGCGGGGATGGATATCATGCGCGACGGGGGCCTGCATTCCATGCGCGGCGACAACGACGCATACGGATGCCTAGGCGTCCTGCGATTATTGGCGTCGGTCTTGCACGAGAATAACTTTGCTGATTCGGAACCGGATTGGGATGAGTTGCGTGCAATGAGCAAAGGCGTGCAGGAGAAATTGAAATCGCTCCAACTGTGGGAGCACAAAGATGCCGTGTCTGCGCGCAACTCATTGCGCATTGTGCTCCGTAACCGCAGGTACTCATTATCGGACTCGGTGTGCTTCGCGTGCCTCAGCAAGTGATGTGCCTCCTAGGGAACGCCGCATACGCGCGCACAAAAAAGTACCACGCAGCCCGTTGTAGCTTTTCTGTTGTGGGATGCCTCGGGCTTCTGGGATATACTTCATTCAGAACGCAGACGCGCGCTGACAAGTACCACGCTGCGCGTGGTACTTTTTCTCTGCGGGTTGCCTCGGGGGTCTGGGATATACTTCAGTCATGACGCAGACGCGCGCGGTTGAGTTTGTGTCGGGGGCTTGGGATATACTCCATTGGGGACGCAGACGCGCGCTGAAAAGTACCACGCTGCACGTGGTACTTTTTCTCTGCGGTTTGCCTCAGGGGTCTGGGATATACTTCAGTCAGGACGCAGACGCGCGCGCTTGAGTTTGTGTCGGGGGTTTGGGAGATACTCCATTGGGGACGCAGACGCGCGCTGAAAAGTACCACGCTGCGCGTGGTACTTTTTCTCTGCGGGTTGCCTCAGGGGTCTGGGATATACTTCAGTCAGGACGCAGACGCGCACGCTTGAGTTTGTGTCGGGGGTTTGGGAGATACTCCATTGGGGACGCAGATGCGCGCTGAAAAGTACCGCGCCGATCGTGGTAGTTTTTCTCTTGGGGTTGTCTCGGGCTTCTGGGATACACTTCATTCAGAACGCAGACGCGCGCACTGAAAAGTGCCAGGCTGAGCGTGGTACTTTTTCTCTGGAGGTTGCGTCGGCGTTTGGGATATATTTCATGTGGAACGCAGGCGCGCGCACTGAAAAGTATAACGCTGCGCGTGGTATTTTTTCTGCTGGAGTTGCATCGTGAAATCGGGACACATGCATTGGCCAACGCGCAAGCGCGTGAGGACGAACAGTCTCAATATGATTGTTGTTGTTTCCTGCTGCCCAGCATTTGCGCGCGTTCATGTGGAGTGCTGATCCACAGTGACCACTGGATGACTGGGCGACTTGGCGCCAGCGGGCCGCGCCCTTTCGGCCAGCAAACACAGGCGCCATCGTCGTCGTCGTCGTCGTCGCCCTCGCTTCCCGAGGAGGAGAAATAGGAAAAGGGGGAGGAGCAGGAGGAAGAGGAGGAGGAGGAGGAGGAGGAGAGGAAGAGGATAGCTCCCCGAGGCCAAACACCGCGCGCGGCGTACCCCGCCTTCCTCTCGGTCCTCCGGCCGCCTCCCTCCCCTCGGCCCCCGCTGTCTCCGCAGCCAGTCTCCGAGGGTCCCCTCCCCCCCCCCCGGGCTTGGCCGTCTCCTCGGCTCCCCCCGGGGGTCGTCTCGGCCCGTGGCCCGGCCCTTGTGTCACCTTACTTTCCTTGCTTGGCTCCTTTGCTTTCCTCGGTTTGTTCCGCCATCCCCCCACCTCCTCCTGCTGTGCCTTGCCCTTACTGGTGGTGTGTATCTCTCGGCTTCCTTGTCTTTCCTGCGCCCCCCCTCCTCGTCTCTCTCGGCCTGGTCGCCGTTATCCTCGTTATCCCCCTCCTCCCTCCCTCCCTCCCTCTCCTTGCTCCTTGGCTTGTCCTCGCTGGCTCCCCTCGTCGCCCTGCTTGTCGGCCCGTCTTCGTTGGCCCCGCGTGATTAACTTTATTGGGCGCGTCAGTTGTAGACTCCGCAGCGTGACGACGACGACGACGACGGCGACCGCGCTTGACAAGCGCCGGCGGCTCGGCCGGCTGAGACGGGCGCCGTCGTCGTCGTCGCCTTCGTCTCGCGCGGATGAGTCGGGGGGGAGGGGGGAGGAGGAAGAGGGGGAGGAGGTGGAGGAGGAGGAGGGGGAGGAGGCGGAAGAAGGAGCTGAAGAGAAGGAGGAGGGAAGGTGTCTCCGATATATCCAGGTATACCCAGGTGCAGACAGCCAACCGCCATTGTGCCAGTCCGGCGTGCTCGGCGGCTCTCGTTCGAGAGGACACCGGAGGGCGTACTCGCAAGGGATAAACACCGTAAGATCGATGAGGATTCCGATGATGATGAGGAGGAGAAGGATGATGATGATGGTGATGAAGATGACGATGACGACGACGATGACGACGATAATGCTGATTATGGTGATGGTGATGTTAACGACGACGACGACGATGATGATGATGATGATGATGTTGATGATGATGTTGTTGCTGATGATGATTATGATGGTGGTGATAATTATGATGATCATGATGATGATGATGATGATGATGATGATGATGATGATGTTGACGATGATGCTGGTCATGACGATGATGATGATGGTGATGATGAGGACGATGATGATGACGACCGTAGTGGGACTCTTTCTTGGGGCATATTCGGCCATCCCGAGGCGGTCGTGGGGGCTCTGGCCAGAGGAATGATAGACAGAGGTCGAGGGGACCCACAGAGACCGAGGCGGAGGGTGAGGGGGGACCGAGGGGGACCGAGGTGGACCGAGGGTGGTCGAGGGCCGACGGAGGTCTATGGGGCCCGAAAAAACCCCAAGAGAAAAAAATACCACGCGCAGCGTGGTATTTTTCAATGTGCGTATGAGGTTCCCGATGATGATGATGATGATGATGATGATGATGATGATGATGATGATGATGATGGTGGTGATGGTGGTGATGACGCTGACGACGATGATGGCGACGATGATGATGGCGATGATGATGACGATGACGATGACGATGATGATGATGGTGATGATGATGCCGACGGCTACCACAACGATAGCACAACGAGTATGATGACGGCGATGGCGGGGACGATGGTGATGATGACGACGAATGAGGATGATGAAGGGGAAGAGGAGGAGGAGAATGGAGAGGGGAGGGGAGGAGGAGGAGGAGGAGGAGGAGGAGGAGGATGAGAGCGAGGAGAAGGCTGATGCTCTGACCTGAGGTGGTCAGGCCACTTTGCCTAAGACCTCCTCCGAACTCGAACCTCGGAGGTGCCCTGCCTCATAGTGGTCCGGCCACTTTCGCCTGGGACGTCCTCGCAACTCTGGGTTCAGAAACGCCCTGAGTTTAAGTATCCAGGCAATGTCCGCTTGAGACATCCTCGCAACTCTGGGTTCCCAGATGCTCTGACCTGTGGTGCTCAGGCCACTTTCGCCTGACACATCATCGAAATGATGACCTCGGAGATGCACTGCCCCAAGGTGGTCCGTCCAGTTCCGCCTGAGATCCTCGCAGCTCCGGGTTGAGAGATTTCCTGAGCTGGTGGTCAGGCTACTTCCGTCTGAGACGTTCCCACAACTCTGCTATATTGAGGCTTCTTTGGGATCGTCGTAGGGAGCTCTTGTGGACTCTTGGCCAGAGAGTAGAAACACAACCAGACCAGGGCCCATAAACAACATTTGAAACGCCCCATCGAACAAAATGTGAAGCACAATTTGAAAGTTATCCAGCCACCATACGTTGAAATAGGTGTCAAAGTGGGGCGTCGCCTGCTGCAGCACATCGCCATTTGTCTGTAACGACTCTCATATACTGCGTGTCTCGTATATGAACCGCCACGTATGTGCCGAATTGCCAATGATTCTGTTTAGGGTTTAACATCATACCAAGCTGGACAGATAACACCCCTGCTAGAACACAGTTTGCCAGATAATGGGTTTGAAAGATAATAGCGTTGCCACGCAATGTATTTCCATGGGTTTGCCGATATATGGCTTTGTTGTGCGCGATACCAGTTGTATGTTACAGATGTTACATACGACATGGTTTGCGAATTATGTATAATGATTGCCACATGTGTATGTCATGTGCTGCATAACGATATCATGTACTGCGTGCCCCTTATGAACCGCCACGTATGTGCCGAGTTACATATGACCCTGTTTACATAATATTGCAACTTAAATCACATTGTGTTATATTCGACGCCATCTGAATCATGTTTGGGAAATTTGGGATCAGCTTAAGCAAAAAACGCCCCAAATATATTCCCTGACCCGCTCTGTTTATGGCCAGCCTCGTATACGACCTGCCTGGTATGCTATCACTTCTCTATATGACAGTGATCATGTAGCTGCTGGCGTAAAGGTAGCAGTGATAGAGTTCGTGGTCAGAGTGATGTCTTCCGCCGTCGGCTCAATTTTGCATCCGCGAGGCCTTACTGACGTGGCTCAGCTTTGCTGGCCTGTTCACTATCCGCTCCTTGACGTGGCTCAGCTTTGCTGGCCTGTCCACTTACCAATCACTTCTCGTTGTCATCGATGGCCGCCTCCGCCCCTCGCCAGATCCTGGTGTGTTTCAACCGCGTGCTGCCCGACGTCGCGGCGCGCGGTGTGCCACTGGAGAGGCTCGGCTTCAAGCCCGGCGATTGGGGCGGCGGAATCGCTTCGGCTGTCGCCGCCGACGCGTGGGACTTGGCCTTGCCGCTGGAATACGGACACAGGGCGACCGATCGCTGCGCCAAGGTCCTCTCCGTAGCGGTGGTGGCGTTGAGTCGCCCAGTTCAGTGGCCGACCTTGAACGCCATTGCCCAGCCACAGGTGGGCCGCCGAAACGTTAAGGACTGCCCCCGGTGGGCGCAGTCCTGCGCGTGCGCAGTGCCCGCAGGGGAGCTGGCGCGAACAATGGACGCCCTATCCAGCCGACCCCGTCGCTCGAGCTTGGCGGTCGTCCTGAACGACGAGAACGCCGCTGGCATCGCGTCGGCGCTGCGCTCCATATGGGTGGCGATGCAGGAGCAGATGCACGGGCACCACGCGCAGCTGAAGACAGCGCTCCGCGACGAGGCATCAAGAGCGCGGGCGCTGAGCCAGGTGATGGAGCGAACTCTTCGCGGAGGCGCGCCCGTCCAGCTGGGCTTCTCCGATCTGGAGGAGTGGTTGGCATCGAGTGACCCTTGCCGGTCGCGCTTTGCCAGGGGCGTGCGAGGCCTCGGCGACGTGCTCGGCGACCGCTGCACGTGCGGCACGGTTTCCTTCCGCACTCGCCAGCCTCGCTTCGGCGACGTCGCGCCCATGACGGAGTGGTTCCCCTACGCGATGCATCAGCTGAAGAACTCCGCCGTCCATAAGTTCCTCAGCGGGGACATCGCCTACGCCGGCCAGGGGGGCCTTATCCGGGTCGACGGCGCGCCCGACGACGACGACTCCAGCGACCTCGTGCACCTGGCGGTCCCATTGGGCGCGTCCTTGAACGTCCGCGACCGCATGGCGCCGGTGGTCGAAGAGGGCGACCTCAAGGCCGCGGCGGAGGAGATCATGGACAGTGCCGGCGGCAACAAAGGATCGCTGTTCGCGCGCGCGGCGCACTTCGGCGAATTTCATATGTGCGCGTCCGTGTTGGGCGAAGATCGACAGACTCTTCGCCTCCAGCGAAGCTCGTTCGCATGTGGCAGGGTGCTCGTCTGCATTGGTGATTACGTCGGGGCAGAGTCCAACGCCATCGGAGTTCTTCTCAGAAGCCTGCGCGAGGTGCCGTCGCCGGCCTGCCGCGCGTTGCTCCCGGCGCACTGCAGCGCGGCCGACCTCGAGCCCGACGGCGCCAACCATTTGTCGGGCCTGACGGCGGGCGCCGCGGCGGCGGTCGCACGGAAACTCGGCAAGAGCTTGACGGCCGATCAGACATCCCTCGTAGAGTGCATGGCGGCTTCCAAGAGAGGCGCTTTCTTTTGCGAGGCGTACCCGGGCACCGGCAAGTCGCTCACCGCCGTGTCGGCGCTCCTCGGCGCCCGCGACGTCTTCGACGAGAAGGTAAAGGGCTTGGTGCTGCTGCAGCAGCGGACGCAGCGAGACGAGATGCTGAGCTTGATCCGCAGCGCGCTCGACGACCCATTCGAGGCCGCGGCGATCGGCCGCCCGGCCGGCGATGATTCTGCCGCGGACGAGGGCTACCTCGACCCGGCGCTGCTCCGCGCGCTGGACGACCGGACGGAGAGCATCAAGGGCCGCATCGACGACCTGCGGGCGCAGTTGCAGACGGCGCAGGAGAACCTCGATCTCACCGCCCCCGAGGGCAAGGAATGGAAACTCAAGAGCGAAGAGATGCTGGCCTTAACGTTTCAGTACCGCAACCTCGTGGAGGAGGCCAGGGGGGCACTCTTCGGGGGTGTCTGCGTTTTCGTCATGACGGTGGACTGCTTCTTGCAGATTAACTGCGGCAAAAATTGGCTGTCCCCGATCTTCCGGAAGTTCGAGTTCAGGCTGGGTGTCGTGGACGAGGGCCACCAGATGGATTTCGCGCATTTGCTGCCGGTCGCGCATCGGCTTGGCACGGCCTTGGCCATGTTCGACAGAGCCCAGGACATCGAGCACTTGAGGCCCACGGAGTTTCTGCGGGAGCATTCGCCTCTGAGTTTCGGACAATATTACGCCTGGAATCAGGCGTGCCATGGACCCTGCCCGCTGCGCCTCTGGGATTACGCCTCAACTTCCCACGTCTTCACGCTGTCAGTCACGTGGAGGTTCGGGCCCCTGCAGTGCAAGTTCATGAGGGGCACCTCCAAGGAGTACGGCCGTAAGGGGCACCCACTCATCTGCGCGCTGGACCACGACGATCGCGAGCGGTACGGGAATCTCGCAGATGTGCCTCAGACTGCCGTGAGATTCGTGCGCTACTCGGACACGCAATGGTTTCCGGCTGTGACCCGCGGCGTCCTCGCTGCGGACGCCGAGGCCATTGGCTTGGGCACGCGCCGGGGGGCGCCCGACCGCGGCGGCGGCGCGGAGGAGGCTCCGCGCGCGGCTGCCTGCAAGCCTGTGTTCGAGCAGATGCTGTTCGAGGGCTTGTTGTTCCTGCGCGCGATCGCGCTGGGCCGCGTTCTCGCGCCGGGCGGCACTCGCTCGACAACTATCGCGCATGGCACGAAGGCGATTCTGACCATGGTGTGGGCCGACGACGTCAGGGTGAACTTCGACGTCGTCGTGCGGGGCGCCCTTGAGAACGCGACGCTCATGGAGTCCTTCGGCATACCCGCGGAGGCATGCGATGCCCCTCACCTGTGGAGAGTTATGACGCCGGAGGCCGCGTCTGGAGCTGACGCGCTCCTCCAGCAAACCACGGTGTCCCCCCGGAACTTGGGCGCCTTCGATGTCCAGGGCAACGCGCGGGACGCGATGCGCAGGAACGTGGCCTTCACTCGTGGCATCCTGTTCGCTTCCTCCCACGAGTGCATCGAGCGCTTGGAGGATGGCCGCGCGGCGCCGCACTGGAAGGCGCACTTCGACGCGAGCCAGCGCGATTGCGCGCTCGCAGTCTGGGAGTCCCCGCGCAAGTCGGGCGGCCCGACGCGGCCAGTTGATCCGCAGTGGATCGACAGGAAGTGCGAGCTGGAATGCGCCAACCGCTTGTTCGACGCCGTCAGGGCCTTCCTCTGGCCGTTGCCGAAGGTCGTGGCCGACATGCGGATGGCGGACCCGTGGCCTGCGAGTTGCGAACGCCCCCCCTCGCTGACGCTCGTGCAGGCGATCCAGCTCGGGAGCGCGAACCTCTTCGACGACGGCGGGGCCCTCTCCGATGTCGCGCAGTCGCCGACGCCGAACCCGATCGACGGCGCGAGCTGGGTCAGCGACTCGGACATTTACGGGCTGGCGCCCGACCGCGAGGCCCTCCAGATGTCTCTGCCCCAGTTGCTGAAGCCCATCGGGGTGCGCGTGAACAACGGCCTGGCCACCGTCACTGCGCACTTTCTGGACGCTTCGCCCCGCTTCGATGCGTTCCGCCCAACCCCCGAGGTGGCGGCGCGCGTCGCCGCGGCCGGTCGCGTGGCCGCGCTGCAGTCCATCCGGCTGTTCCCAGACACGTTCTCCGAGGGCCGCCCCCTCTACGCCAGGCTCCTCCCGTACAAGCGCCTCCGCCTCGGGGGCGATGCCCGGGAGGCGTGCCGGGAGGCGCGGGCGGCGCTCGCAGTGGCGCTCGCAAGGGGGAGCGCCGAGACTCGGGACGTCGTCATGTACCAGCATGTCGGCAACCCAGACGCTCTGCAGCCGCCGAACACGTGGCCCACGCTGTTCAAGAAGATGCCGCTGCACATCGCGCGCTGCGCCCTCGCGACGATGCACTTCCTGGCAGGGACCTTCCTCGACGACGCCTCGGTCCACGTGCGATCTCGCTCCCAGTCGGATGAGGACAAGGCCGCGGCTGCCGAGGAGCGAAACGACATGGTCCACAGCGTGAACTCCATGGTCAATCTGCTCCGGCAGCGCCCAGGCTTGACTCGGGACGCGATTCTGCCGCCGGTCGCGCTCTCCGCGGCAGCGACGGCGGCGCGCGCAGATCTCGACGACTCGTTTCAGTGCGTCGTTTGCGACGGCACTGGCAAGTTGTTGGAGTATCGCGCTGTCGCGGGGGGCACGGTATCCTTGCCGTGCCCGCTCTGCGACGCGTGTCCCGTGTGCGGTGGCACCGAGACCTGGGATGCGTACGACCCCCAGCTCCCTTGCCCGCTTTGCGTGGATTGAGCGGCGCAGCAAAGCCTGCGCCCGACTTCGACGCGACGCCGCGATGCAGCCAACCAGTAGTCGCTGGTCGTCGGCCCCTTTGCCTCGCCTGCCACCATCGCTGTTCTGGAGCACGGTTGCGCTCAGTTTAAAAACTTTCGCCCGCAGGACAGGCCATGTCTGACATATGAGAGGTTATCGAGTTTGCATTGTTATGTATGTGAGGTCGTGCCAGCCACGTGTATGACCAGTGTGGTATGTTACGTTGATGGTATACACAATAGTTAGTATATGACACGCACTGTATATGGCCAGCCGCGTATATGACCGATCTGGTATGTGATGTTTGTTGTACGTGGCATGGATTGTATGAGGCATGCGTGGTAATTAACCGCTTCATTGGCAGTATACTATGCGTCGATTGGTCGCAGCGGGCTCAGTTTCCATCTGTCGCGGATTGCATGCGGCATTTATTGTATGTGACATGCTTCGTGCATGGCTTATTAGGTGTGTATGACATGTCTTGCACGTGGCGTCTACTGTACAAAGAGTGGCTTGTATGCGGTCGTCTAGCACGCACTTAACATACATTGTTTCTGGCGCGGCTTGCACGTGACATGGCAATGCCGCGCTCGATGCACCATGATACATTTGAAGGGGATGCGGAAAGGTTTTACTCGGCGAGGTTCAGAGCTCTGCGGAGTGACCTCGGCCCGAGCACTCTGCGGAGCTTGCTGAGCAGCCCGGGGGGGCTCGTCCGCCACCTCGCTCGCTGCCGCCCGCGCCATGGCGCTGTCTCGCCCCGTTGTGCCGTTTGTCGACGGCGCCACCGGGGAGCCGGCGGGCCGGGCATTGCCTCGATCTAATGTTGTTGTCATGCGAGGGCACGTGGGCCATGATCCGTGATTCGCACGTTATTTTTGTTTTGCTCTGCTGATTGTTTCATGGGGCCTTCCCGAATACTCGTTCGTTTTGGCTGTTGAAAGTCTTCCTAGTGAAGTCTGACGTCCAGGGCAAATTCTGGCGATCCTTGGGGGGGGGGGAGGGGGGGGGAGTTGAGTAACTCAGATGATATATCGTTTCTCGGAAAGTATTTCAAACCGCAGATTTTTGCCCGCTGGCCGCCAGGCCAGCGAGCAGAGAGGGGGGGCGTCGCTGCAGCGGCGCGCGATTTTCGCCAGGTGGACTGGCTGAAGTGGGACGACTCGAACCTGGTGTGGAAGTGCCTCATCTGCCCGCAGTGGGACGATAACGGGGCAGACGCCAAGCAGGCGCAGGATTGCCACTGCTGCGCGCGCCGCCGCCCTTCCCCAGTGTTCGATGGTAACGTGCGGAAAGTTTTGCGGAGTTCATCGTGCATGTCGGCACGCGCGCTCTACTCGCCTGCGCTGTCGGATTTCCTTAGACTCTGCTGTTTTTAACATTTGTTGTATACGACATGCTGTGTCTGTGACTTGTGTTTAAAACATGATCTGCCTTGTATATGATCTGTGCTGTGTGCTTATCATCAGCCGCACTTTCATATAGTACGTATTCCAGGTAACGGCTTTGCCAGAAAACAGTTTTGATAGATAACAGATTTGCTAGATAACATGTTTGCTGGAAGACATATTTGCCAGATGGCAGATTTGCCAGATAACGTGCGTGACAGTTAACGCAGTTGCCAGATAACAGCGTTGCCAGATAACGGGCTGCGAATGGTTATGTTTGCTAGATGCATGGTTCGCAGGGTATCCTTGGCGGAGGCCCTGGCGAGCCGCAGCCGCGGCCTAGTTAATTTATTTTACATCACTCATCAGAACTGATTAGTTGAAGCTTCCTGGCTTGAGTTAGATATCGTGGTTGCCACACTGTCAGGTTTGCAAGATAACGGGCGTGCCAGATAACAGGTTAGCCAGATAACAGAATTGATACATAACGGATGACATATTTGCACGTTTGCCAGATAGTAGATTTTCCAGATGCGAGATTTGCCAGATAACAGATTTCCATATGAGAATCTTTCCAGATAGCAGATCTGCCAGATTATCGGTTTCCGTTGCTTTCATCATGTATGCTTGCCCCGTTGTTCCGTTATCCACTTATTCTTTGTGCTTTACATATGAATTCCCCATTGTGTCGTGCACGTATTAGTCGCATATGGCCTGCGGCTTCCTGTCGTTCCTGCGTCATTCATCGTCAACGTTGATTTGCGATAAGCTTGCTCGGTGATATCTGAACGAGTCTGAGCGGTCATTCCGAGGCCGGCCTCAGGCCCCATGCAGTCTCTCACCCAGACCACGCTCCCGCGATATCCTGAGTAGGAGGCTGTGCGTTTTTGTCATAGGAGCGCGCCTCTCCCGCTGCCCCATCTCCCCCCCCCCTCCCCAATGGAGGACGACCCTTGGTGCGAGCACTTCAAGAGTCGCGAGCACCTCAGGAAGGTTCGCAACTGGGCGCCGGGGACGACCGTTAACCCGGAGCACCCGGGCGCGGTGCCGCCGCCACCGCGGGCTCTGGGCTGGGGCGCTTGCGCCGCGGCGCCTCCGCCAGCGCCGGCGTGGGGGGCGTGGGGCGTCGCCTCGGAGGCGCCTCCGCCTCCGCCCGCCTGGGGCCCAGCCGCGGGCGCGGCAGCGGTTCCCCCTCCGCCGGCCGCTGGCTCGCAGCGGCCGGCGGACGCGGCGGCGCCCCCGCGTGTGATCGCTCTAACGGACGGATCCACGCAAGATGCGCCCGAGCAGGCCGAGGGCGATCAGGCGGGGGGCGCTCCGTGGGGTGCAGTCCCGGCGGCCTGGGGCGCGCCCGCCGCGGCGCCTCCGCCTGCCTGGGGCCCAGGCGCGGGAGCGGCAGTGGCCCCGCCTCTGACCGACGGCTCCACGCAGGATAGGATCGACGCTCTCGAGCGAGCCGTGAGCGAGCTGCAACAGCAGCTCGCTCGCCTGCAGGCCAGGCTCGAGCAGTGATCTTCCGTCCTTCAGCGCCGCCTCTACTCTCGCCCCGCTATCTTCACGTTTGACAGATGATAGAATTGCCAGGTAACATATTGGCCCGATGCCACATTTGCCAAATCACACGCCTGCCAAACAACATATTTGCCAGATAACAGATTTGCCAGATCATACGCCTGACACGCGACACATTTGCAAGATAACATATGTGCTAGATCATGATGATTTCAGACAGCATGACCATCATTCTGGTGTGCATTAAATCATATCTGTTGTTGTTCAATGAGAAGTTGCACATGCTCTACGTCATGTCAGCTTCTATCTTATTTGCGTGATCGTTATTTATCTCCCTCTCCCTCTCTCGGTCGCTGCCTCTTTTGTGTCCTCAGCTTGCTCTTAGCGCCGAAACGGCCAGGCGGCCAAGGAGCTCGCATGGTTTCTGGATGCAACTGTCATTTTTAATATGCAGCGCAGAATGCGACGCGTTCTCGCGTCTTTCACTAGTTGCGACGGCGGCAGTATAATTGCAAAAACACATTGGCATTCGCCTTCCTCTCGTGCCCCTTGCATCTTGTCTATCCCCCCCCCCCCTCCCTCTCACTCTCTGTCGCTGTCTTTTTGGTATCCTCAGCTTGCTACTTGCGCCGAAACGGCCAGGCGGCCAAGGAGCTCGCATGGTTTCTGGATGCAACCGCCATTTCAAATGTGCAGCACAGAATGCGACGCGTTCGCCCGTCTCCCACTAGTTGCGACGGCGGCAGTATAAAAACAAAAGGACATTGGCATTCGCTCCCCTCTCGTTCCCCTACTATGGTTCGCTGTCTATGGTTCCACTACTCCCAACATCTCAATGTAGAGGAGTATCATAGTCGACGTTTCCCGGATTACAGTTTCGCCTGACGACGTATTTCCGTGATAACAGGATTGCCAGTTAACATGTGTGCCCGGTGACTGGTTTGCCAGATGACATGTCTGCATCACATAACATGCGTGCATGACAATATGTTTGCATGATAGCATGTTTGCACGAGGGCGGGTTTGCCAGTTGGTCTGCAAGACGGCACGAGATGCTTCGAGCGTTCTCCGGGCTCGCCCGAGAAACCCCCGAAACGGCCCACCACGAGGGCCAAGGACTGGATAATTTAGGGTCTTTGAGACGATATGTCCGCCAAGGCGCCCTTGCGGACATATCCCAACATCGCCCTCCTACTCACCCTCACCTTCCTTCTCCTCCTCTTGGCAGACGCCCGCGAGGCTTGCGGGATTCGTGGGGCTCATGAGGCTCGCGGGTCTCGACGGGCCTTTGATCCCCAAGATTACCCGAGATGATCCCAGCGCTCTACGGGTTCGCCGCCCAAGATGGTCTCCAAGACGGTCCGTCATGGCCCTGCGAGGGCCAGCGACATTGGGTTTGGAGATCTTTGGGGCGATGTGTCCGCACTAGCGCCCCTGCGGACATATCCCAACATCCCCCTCCTATTCTCCCTCCCCCTGTCCTCCTCCTCCTGGCGGACGCCCGTGACGTTAGCGGGGCTAGTAAGGCTCATGAGGCTCGCGGGCCTCGACGGGCCTTCGGGTTCTAAAACCGAAACGAGATAGACCCAGCGCTATGAGGATTCGCTCAAGATTGCTCCCAAGACAGCCCGCGACTGCCCCGCGAGGGCCAACTACATGGGACTTGGGCGTCTCTGGGAAGATATGTCCGCAAAGGCGCCCCTGCGGACATATCGTCATATACAGGAAACTGAAAATACAGGGAGGGTCATCTACAGGGAAGATCATATGCAATGAACCATATTGGGCTATTTTGCAAAACAGAGGCCCGTGAAGGCATACGAGCCTGACGCGCGCTGAAAAGTACCACGCTGTGTGTGGTACTTTTTCTCTGTGAGTTGCCTCGGAAATCTGGGGCGTACTTCATTCAGGACGCAGACGCGCGCGTTTGATTTTGTGTCGGGGGTTTGGGATATACCTCATTGGGAACGCAGACGCGCACGCTCAAAAGTACCACGCTGCACGTGGTATTTTTTTCTCCTGGGATTATATCGAGGGATTGTATACAAGAAGAAATATTTGTTCCGATCTCCTCCCCTAATCCCACGAGCCTCATCCTCCTCGTCCGCGCTCCTCCGTAATCCTCGCCCCGCTTCCTCGTGGTCCTCGCCCCCCTTCCTCTTTCGATCCATCATCTTCCCTTCCCTCCTCCTCCTCCTCCTCGTGCCCCTCCTCATCCAACACCGAGTCGCCGGTCCAAGGGTTGTCTGTCCGGACGAGAAGTTGGCGTTGACGGAGTATGAAGGTAATATTGATATATGTCCGCAGAAGCGCTTTTGTGGACATATCATCTGAAATGCGGTAAACTACGTATTTGGTCTCAACGGGCCTTTTGGTCTCCAAGACAGCTCGACATGATTCATGGGCGTTTTCGTTCAGCGCACGCCGCCAAAGACGTCACCTCAATCTGAGCGCGAACGGTCGCGTGCAATGCCTCCTGGTAGCCCCCTTCGGAACCTTCTCAGTGCACTTCTTGGGGGCCGTGTCAGATATTTGTTTGGGGCCCTTCCGGAGCCTTTCCGGCTTGTCGGGGGCGCTTCCCAGAGCTGCATCGAGACCGCGCCGGAACAATCTTCGAGTTCTCATGGGGGCCTCTAGGGACATTCCTATGCTTTTGCAAAGGGCGTGTCGGAGCCCTCTTGGAGCTTCTCTTGGGATTTCCTTGGGGCTGCTTTCGGGGCACTCTAGGAATCTTCTTGGAGTGCCGATTGTAGCCTTTACCTCTGCCGCTGGCTCGATCCATCCTGGCGAGTTTCTCGCGTGGCTCAGCATTGCTGGCCTGTTCTGTTTCCCATTCCCGTGCTTGGATCAGCTTTGCTGTCCTGTTCTTTAACTTCTTTAACTATGGCCGCCGACAACCAGGGCGCTGCTGCCACTCAGCCCATGAGCCAATTCTCTGCTGACTTGGGCGATTCTATATTGCAGGCGGCTGTGCCGCCTTCTCCAAGCCAGCGCGGCGAGCCGCCTGGCGGGCCTGGCGAAGACACGTGCGCGCACGTGATCACCATTCCAACGAACGCGCCCGCTGGCCCACCGCATGTTCCAGCTGATACCGTCGGGGTGGTACCTGCCGACGAGCTGTGTCTGCATCACTGTTGCAATGCTGCCGCGGATATGTATTCGTGGTTGCGCGGCAGACAGGCGTCTGGTTACGCAGAAGATAGGGGCAGAGTTTGCGCGGACGCGGCGCGAGCCAAGCAGCTCCGGGATCGCGTCGCGGAGATGGCGCGCGCTGCAGGAGATGAAGCCACTGCTAGCAGACTGCTGAAGACCGGGCGAGAAGCTTACCCGGGTTTCGACGAAATGAAATATTTCTGCGAGGTCTTAGGCGGCCAGATCGTCGTCGAGCACTACGAGGACAAGGAGCACTCTGTTCAGAGCGTTTATGGTGACGGCCCTTTGAGGGCGCTCTTTCGGCTTCACAAGCAGTCCTCTGAGGATGGGCACGAGGTCGATCATTGGTCGCGCCTGCAGAGTTGGATTCCGCGAGTTCCAGGGGTCGCCGCGCGCGCGAGCGAGCCCGAGGATGCGCCCGCCGATCCCGTCGGCGACAGCAGCTCCCTACAGCGACGGTTGAAACTCCCAGGCGCAGCTACATGCAGTGCGGAATTCGACGAGTTCATGATGGAGGTAGACAGCGAGCGGAGCTGGCTGGAAAGTTTAACGGCAGACCCTGAGCCGCCTGCTCAGAGCATGCTCTTGCAGACGGAGGCGGTGAAAGCATTCATAGAGAAGAAGCACGCCTCATGGGATCCGTACCTGAAGCGGATTGCCCTTGGGGCGCTAGCCATGTATCGATGTCGGCTATCCGATATCTACGTTCGAGAGTATGTCATGATGATGCACATCATACTTGGCGGTGACTACCTCGTCGCCCACGACGGGGTCATGTATTTTTGGAACGGGAATACAAGGTTCTTCGAGAAGTACGAGGGTCTCATGCCAGAGATTGTGTATGCTGCCCTGAAGGAGTACCTCTTGACTTTGGAAGGGCTTTTCCGGTCCTTCACTGGCGAGGTTCGGCGGGATGACGAGGCCGCGATGTCCGCTATCGAGGGGTCGTTGGAGAAGAGCGGGCCCGAGGCTCGGAAGGCGTTCGCCGCGTGGCGCGACAACGCCATCTTCAACAGAGGAGGCAAGGGCGGCGGCAAGGGCGGCGGCATGGGGGGCGCGGGGGAATCTGCCGCAGAATTCGATGCTCTCTCGCAGATAGAGGCGCAAGGGCTGGATGGCGATGCGCACGCGCCGGCAGACGACAGCTCCGCGCGCAGTGCGCCGTGGTATATCACGATCGCAGTGAGCGTTGCTCGAGTTGGGCGATGCTTACAGATCCAGATGATTCAGAACAAGTTGCCGTCGTTTTACTGCGAGTGGTGCGAGACTCCGCGCCCCTCGCTCAGGGGCGTCGCCCACCCCGACATCGCGTTCGTCTACGACCTGGGCGGAACCCCGGTGACGCAGATCACGAGGGAGAGTGAGCGCAAGAGCATATACATCGGCATACCGCACAAGATCAAGGCTTACTTGGGTGACCCGGCGTTGAAGGTGGCCGCGACGAGAGTGGACCAGTTCTACAGGCAGACATTCTGGGCAAACGCCGCCGCGCACAAAGTGTGCATGGCCGCCCTCGCTCTGGCGAAGAGAGGGTTGAACGTCGACCAGCTGTTCTTCTTCTGGGGAGCCGGCGGCGTCGGGCTTTCGCTTGCGACGGCCCATCTCGACGCCATGCTCGGCCACTCCAACCACAAGTATTTCGACCCGCAGGTGTTCTATCTTGACGAGGAGATGCGGAAGACGGTGGAGTCGCTCAAAGGCACGATCGTTCTCACGGCACAGGAGAAGCCAGAAGGCTTGAGGAAGAGCTTCCGGGAGGATTTGTTCAAGAAGCTGGCGTCTGCCGACGGCATCTTTGGTCGACTGCCGTATCAGATTTTGACGATGGTTATATACCTGGTCGGATG